GCTTTTGTGTTTTTAATAGCCATTTTTTTTTATCTTGCAACAGTAGAAGACAACATTTTGCAACAATCGCCGATCGTGCTGATTCTGACGGTTACGTTGGTTTGGGTTTAGGAAAACTGACAGCGCTCCGCAGTGCTGTGAAGTAAAGGAAGTTAAGCTGGACAGATTGTCTCGTTTTTTAACGGTTTTATCTCAAATATCTCCTTTTTATAAGCTTTGGAAGCCGAAATACAAAATATATTAGAATAATATCCCAGATCTAAAGTGTAACCACGTTGAATGTTTAGTTCTGTCCTCATTGTCACTCATTAAGCAAGGGCTGTCCTACCCTATCTCACGACCAATTCGTACGAATTCGTACGAGTGATTAAAAAGTGGCTAATTCGTACTAATTCGTACGACCTCACTCGTGCGAATTCATACGATTTGTCTAAACCCACGTGACGGTTATGTTTAGGGGCGGGGTCAGGGGTAGGTCATTCGTACGAATTCATACGAATTGGCCAATTCGTAAAATATGTACGATTTAGCAAAAATCGTACTACTTTGTACGACTGAGGTCGTTTGAATTGTTACGATTTAGCCACCTCGTAAAATTCGTACGAATTCCCGTGAGATCGGGTTGGGCTGTCGTGTTGCGCGTGCTGTGGCTTTGCGTGAGAGATCGCTCTCTCTCTCTCTTCTCTCTAGCCATGTTTCCATCGACACGTTTTTATCCGAATTAAGTGATATCGAATGAAAAATGCCTTATGGAAACAGTAAAATTCGATGAAATTTCATGAAAATCGATTTAAATGAAATGCGTTCAGTCTCATCGGATTTTCTCTTGATCGATATACGGCTAATGCGATAAAAGCTGATGGAAACGTTATTTGCCGAATAAATAATGAATTGCGATTAAGTTTTATGCCCTTTTATGGTTGCAACACGTCAGAAGACGAGTTCATTTCCGGCCAGTCTGTTTGCGCACACATGGAATGGATGTAAGTGGACAAAGCAAAAAGATGCTTCAACCAAAGGGTTTCCGTGAACCACGATCTCCCAGAATGATGGAGCGCTGTCGTTCCCACACCACAGTCACCTCCGCTGTCGTCGGGCATACGTGCATCGTCATCATCATAGAGCATTGTTTATAGCGTCGCTGTTTTCTTAGGTTAGTTTAGCTTGTTTTTACGTGGCTTGGTTGAATTGTAATGTAGAATGTGGTCTGTTATTTCTAGTTAACCGACTGCGGCGCTGCTAGTAAACACACCGTTGCCATGGACGCAGTTCAGAGACGGAACAGACTATTTTCTTTAGCAGAAGCAATACTCGTTTTTAAATCAATAAACTCGTTTTTAAGGCAATATTTTGTGTCAAATTATTGATTTATTTGGTTGATTTATATGTAGGCTAATAAGCAGGATAATATATAGCGAGGCGGTTGTTATAGCGAATACAACCAACAACCGCCTCGCATACATTATCCCATTCATATGTCGCAATCAGCTGGCACATAAGCATTATTAGCCTTCAACTTGTGAAATATTGATCATTTTTGGTAGATGGCGCGATCCGTTTTGTCTAACAAAACTTTGTTCGCAAAAGTTTGCTTGAATGTTGTTCGATTCAGTGCGAAAATAAATGGAAACACCTTAAAATGTCTCAAATCAATTCGATATACCAATTTGATCGCAAAACAGCATGTGACGTCATTACGTACAGGTTTTTATTCGCTTTAAAGCCGTTGGATGGAAACACACTTTCACCAGCTTTATCCGCATGAGTTTTTTAACCGAATTTCAGATAATTCGATTGACAAGTGGATGGAAACATGGCTTCTCTCTCTTCTGAACTGCGAATTGCAAATTTGCATCACAGACAAATGGTTTAATTCTGAAGAATCGAAGCAATGCGGAGGACCGAATCCCAAACGACGCCCAGAAAAGTGGCCTCCTGAGGAGATAAAACACTTTTCTTCACGTTCAGCCTCAACCCCAACTTCCTGATATGCGCGAGGATGACATCTCGATGACGAACCGCCATCTGCTTCGTCTGAGCTAAAATCAACCAATCGTCGATATAATTGAGAATGCAAATGCCCTGAAGCCTCAGCGGCACTAGTACTGCATCCATGCATTTCATGAAAGTACGGGGAGATAGCTAGACCGCTACACCGTGACATTTTTGACTTTCAGAATTATGTGTAATTCAGGGCACAGTTCAGACGGAATAAAAAGATAAGTTGTCTCTCGCCATTGACTACCACACATATTTTTTCCCGAAATAAGGTCCCATGAGCCGGAAGCGGAGGGGCGGGACTTAGGCTCTCTATGCCTCGCCCCCGAAGGCAAACCTCAGGAACTTCCTGGGTTGTGGAAGTAAGCGTCCTTTAGATCTATCGTGACAAACCAGCCCTCGGTCCTGATTTGTGACACGACCTGCTCGATAGTGAGCATCTTGAATTGAGGTTCCCTATAGCGAGCGATTTAATAGGCGCAAATCTAAAATTGGACGCTCCCCACCATCCTTCCTTGGAACGATGAAATATCGTCTGTAATAGTGTTGTCAAAAAACTCGGTACTTCGGTACCAAGTCGGTACTACAAAAAAAAAAAAATGTTACGGTACCAGCTTTTCTAGGTACCGAGTACCAGGTTAATCCAGTTCTGTTCTAGACGCGATGTCTGAAACGTGCACAGTTGCGTCCTCTTTAACGCTGATATGGCTCTCTCTCTCTCTGAATCCACTTGTTGAAACGAAAAGAGGAAAGAGCCACATATGGAAATATTTTGGATTAGGCTAATGTCACGTTGCCATAAGAGGCCGATTACATGCAAATTCGCAATTTCAAATATAGGCGCGATTCAAGCGCGCTCATAATAAAAACTCGTTGGCGTTGCATAGCAACGACAGACGCCGCGTGAGAGCAAGCGCTTTGGAAACGCGCAAAAATATAATTAAAAAACACGCGCGACATGTGAACGGCCTCTAAAGTGCTTTCGGGGTAGTTTTACGAGTACATGAGCACAGTAGTATCCAACCGACACCAGAGTACTACTGGTATTAGTATTGTCATTTAATGTCAGTGCCAGTACTAGGCATATTCTTGCCTTTATAACTCAGCAGGTTTAAAAAGCCTTTTTAAAATTAAATATGAATGCAGTTTTACATTAAATAAAAGGACAGTCAAGTCAAATAAAACATGTTTTATGGTAATGCTACAAAGATATTCATCAACATTACTTAGTTATCAACACATTGAGTGAACAATATATTTTTACAACAATAACAATTTTGAAAATGTTATTTATTACAAACACCTGATTGTTCATGTTTGTTCACTTAATTCATTGTGCATTAAATAAATAATGGATTAAAACTTTACAAACAACTTTAAAAATGTGTTAGTGTATACTATTGGTTATTTTAGGTCATTTTATCTAATCTTTTTCTAAAGTGTTTATAATACAAATGTACAGTTTCCATACTTGTAACCGTGATAAACACTTAAATATATGTAGATTTAAACTAAGCTTTGGTACCGAAATTGGTACCGAGAACCGTGAATTTTAACTGGTATTGGTACCGAATACTGAAATTTTGGTACCGTGACAACACTAGTCTGTAATAACCTAGCTCCAAACTGGGAGGAGGAACCCGTTCTATAGACCCTTTTACAGTTGGTAAACATGGTGACGTTTTTTTGTGGGAGGAGCTTAGGTGGAGGCAGAACGATCCCTCTGGCCGCTTCACTAACGCTAGTTAGCAAGTTTTATTAGCTTGTTTTTTAACAATGACTGGAGAAAATCAGATTTTATCTTAATGTGTAAGGTCACTCACTCTCCACGACTGTTATTTCCAAAAGTTATTTTTAATGGACAGAACCAGATTGGCCGACCCGTAGCCGCCTACACGCTCAATCGATGCATGGACGATCTGACAGGCTAACATTACGTTACCTCGGTTGAGTGGCCTGACTTCTACACCTACCTTATAGAGAAACTGATCGTAAAGACAAACTGTGGGCATATAAATCTTTAGATGCCTATAACTATGTGCTGAATGGTCCTGTACAAGACGTGTGTGTATGATCCGCATTTCTGCCGAGCTAGGGCAGAGAAGACGACAATGTAAAGAGTGTCATTACGGTTGGATTTTAATCACGTGAATATTTTCTGGAAATAAAAAATCCAGATACAGCATACTCATTTTTCATTGATACTTGCACCAAACAACACAATAAGATGACATTTAAAAATAATAAAAGTAATTTAAGCTCCTTATTTTGTAGCCGAATCTGTGCTGGTTTGCATTGGCCGCCTCCAGTTTTCACTTTGTTTTGCCTCCAGCTAGCGCCGTGACGTAACTGTGACGTCGGCGCAAAAGGGCTCTATAGCCCTCTTTTGAAGGAGCGTTTTCACCTCTTGCCCGGGCCCACACTATGGGCAGAACCCCTCTGAGTTTCGGTGGACGACTCCTGAATTGGATCACCTACTAGATCAACAGCCCTTGCTAGGTCAAGAGCTAATTCAGATTAATTAAACATCTTTAATAGACTTCAGCAATTGACATAAATTATGTTATTTTCTTAAGTTGTTTGTTTAGAATCGTGATCTCTACTTTTATTCTCAAATTATCCCGAATTGTGTAGCTCTAATATATAGCTTGTGTATGTATCATTTAGTTATATTTAAATTAATTATAAAGAAGAGATCGGGTCCTGACCCCCACTATATTTGCCTATTCTAATAACGGAGTTTGGACCTGAATACAAACTCGATCTCACAGTAAAATCACAGCTCAATTATTTCCATATGAGAATAACAGTTAATCCTCTCTGACTAATTTAACATGTAATTTATTACATGAAGAACAACAACTGAAGCCACATTTAAAACTCACCATCCAGACGGCAGAAACACAGACAGAAGAAAACAGTGCGAAACATCTTCAGTCCACAAATATGAAAAGACAAACTCTTCAAAACGGCTTCGGGAATAAAATGACAGATGAGCTGATGTGAAGCTGCTCTGTAGTAACATGAAATTAAACTCCACCAACATCTCATGAAATTGCAAATCTTTAAGTGTTTATGCATGTGACCATCTTACACTTTCTTTCTGATAATTCACTTTCTGATGTTTATCAAGTGCGCCTCGACTTCCTCTAGATTAAAAAATGTCATGTTCAACACAAATGTGTGAAAAGTGTCTTAAGCAACAGTTTGCTACTTTGATAAGAACGCATCAGCTAAAGTTATTGCACATGCAAGCATTATTGATGAAGAACAGCGGATGAATCGTCTTCATCAGTGATGCGCGGGTCAATGTATAAACAACCCGCACCCGACCGACGTTTTCAACTACCCGCCCTTAAAGGAGAACATTGTTACCTAGTCAACCGTTATCTGAGATTTCTTTTCTTGAAATGTAAATAGTTTTATCTCTAAAAACAGTTTAGCGTATAACACTAGTAATGACAAATAAAAATCGCTTGTTATTACCACTAACAAGGCTCAAAATAGCCCCACAGTAACACGGCAGCATAATAAGGGTCCCTACATTCAAACCGAAGCATTGAGAACTTTGTCAGTGTCCATACAGTTTTATAAGAAGATGAAGAGTTCAGATGCAAAAGCCTTTAAGTGCCATTTGAAATTTTCTTCTAAAATGATGGGTTTTTTTTATCAAGCTTGTATATTTAAGTTCAGTAATTTCACTTAAATGGCAATGAAGATTACCTATTAATTGCCATTTAAAAATACAAGCTTGATAAAAATAGTCATTTTAGAAGAAAATTTCAAATGGCATTTAGAGGCTTTTGCATCTGAACTTTTCAGATATTTTACACACAGTCAACTTCGCGAATACAGGAAGAAGCCATCTTTGAAAAATAAGGTGTGTCCGACATCGGCTGCGGCTGGATGAAACCGATCGGTGAGAATAGCCGCGTGCAGGCGGGGAGGAGCTGCAAACGGAGACGTGAAGCTTGTTCGACTTCATGCAGCTCTGCGCAGACCGATCGGCGGCTGACTTGAAACAGTGCATGCCGGTTAGAAATTTTGTCCGACTTGAAGCAGCGCTGACTCCACGTGACTGTGACGTATGCCATCAAAGTACCGCGAGAGCGATACGAGAGTAGCCGGAGGACTCAGCCAGCGCAGCTTCTTAAGAGCGGCTGCACGAGCTCTGATGATGTCACAGCTGTTCCACGATTCGCCGGATTCACCGCATGACAACGATCACGTGCGCTTCGTGTTTATTCTCGCACATTTAGTTCCACTAAAGCTCACAAATCAGTATTTTATAACAGTAAACACTCTTTTCATTTAGTCGCGATGTTATATTGTGTCATGTTTATCATGTTTATCAAAATAAAACTGATTAAAAAAACGTTGATTCGATTATAGGCTTATTTTGAACTTTATTCTAGTTCAAACAGATGCTGTATGAAGCAGTAAAGTGTTGAATGAAAATGTGTCTGAAATATCTGTTTATTTGGCAAATGTTGCATTTATTTCACTTCAGCTGTGGTAAAGCATGCAAACACCACGTGAGCCGTCACTACGGGAACCAGAAATTGTCCGACTTCACGTCTCCATTTGCAGCTCCTCCCCGCCTGCACGCGGCTGTTCTCGCCGATCGGTTGCATCCAGCCGCAGCCGATGTCAACCACACACCTAAAATGAGCAAAGAAACGGTGAGAGAAGAAGATATTCAAACACCAGCCAACTCACAATCCACGCTAGATTTAATTCCTATACGTGGGTCGTCATCACAGATTCACCAGCATGGAGGTGGTTTGGTTTAGTCAAAAGACAACACTATCTCACGACCAATTCGTACGAATTCGACGCATGATTAAAAAGTGGCTAATTCGTACTAATTCGTACGACCTCACTCGTACTAATTCGTACGATTTGTCTAAACCCACGTGATGGTTAAGTTTAGGGGCGGGGTAAGGGGTAGGTCATTCGTACGAATTCATACGAATTGGCCAATTCGTAAAATATGTACGATTTAGCAAAATCGTATTAATTCGTACGAGTGAGGTCGTATGAATTGTTACGAATTAGCCACTTTTTAATCATTCGTCGAATTCGTACGACTTGGTCGTGAGATCGGGTTGCAAAAGACGCTGATCTGCAATATGTGTCAAAAGCAGCTCGACGACCATCAATCTCTTCATCTTCGATCGACTCACCGCACTTAATATGAGGATTATGAACAGCCGAACACGACGCGTCTGCAGCTGAAGGGGTAAAATAAAAAACACACGCAACAAACTTTCCCCTTTTAATTTACCTAGAAAGTTCCTAACGACAGAAAAAGCGACAGATGACAAGATATAACAAACGCTGTCCCCAATTACATTAGGCTACCAGAGACATGGTGCCAATTCAAGCGGTTGAGAGAGATGGTTTTAAACGGCTTTTAACGACGTTACATTTTTTTACCTTAGTCTATAAATCGTAGACTTTGTTTACAATAGAATCTGTTTACATACATATTTTTTCCACAGTGCAATATTGGACAAATCTGAAGTTAGTCATTGAGAATACTATGGGCTAGTTTTTTGTATTTTTGATTATAGAAGTTTTTACATAAGGGAATATTTAGTGTTCAATGGTATTTTAGTGCTATTTTTGATCGATGTATCATTTTTTTGTCAATATCGCACACCCCTACTTCGAAACAATATTGTGGAAAGCGCTATACAAATACATTCAAATTGAATTAATGAGTAAGTGAGAAAATATATTGCTGTTTGTTCTCAAATTATATTGTAAGATGGAAATAAGCCACATGAAAATAAGCATACAGTAAATGCCAGCATGATGGTGATGATGATGATGATGATGATGATGAACATGAAGATGAAGAACAGTCTCTATTGATGGCAGGAACAGGCAGACGAGCTGGAAAACATGAGAGAAAAGAAAAATAAGAACAAATCTAATCAACAATCTTATTTCGGTTCAATCAGTGTTTATATGATCCAGCATCTCAAACTACAACAATGAATCAACAATTAATAAATATGTAAATAATTAGTAAAAAAAAAAAACAAGAGTGTTTGAAGGACAGGAGATATGATCTCTACTTACCTGAGACTGAAACTCTGAAAGCATTTATTGAGAAACTTTTATCTTCTCTCTTAAATTTGATCTTATAATCTCCAGCTTGTTCAGTTGTGATGTTTGTGATGGTCAGAGACATAGTTTGATTGTTCAGCTTCAGTCTGTCTCTGAATCTCCCGAGATAATCATCATATACAGTGATTCTGTCACCATCAATTTCAGCGATTAAAATGTTTTCATCTCCAAACATCCACCGAATCCATTTATAACCCTTTATTTCAGTGATATCAGAGTTTATAGTGAGTGATTCTCCCTCCATCACTGATATTTCAACTGGATCAACAAACAGAAACAGAGTTAGATTTCAAATGAACAATATCATAAAAAAATGGTGTTTAGTTAAAGGGTTGGTAAAACACGATTTCACTTTTCTAACTTTAGTTAATGTTGCTGTTGTAGAAGCATAAACATCTGCAAATTACAGCGCTCAGTTCAAAGCAAAGGACGATATTTGATTTTAAAGGAAATGACTACAACAAATGGCTGGTATGGACTACACGACATTCCTCCGGGTTTGTAACTGTGTTACTATGGTTACCAATGTTTAAAGTGGATACATTTCGACTATAACAAAGTCCTTTTAGGCAAGTCATGCCACTCAGCCGCCATCTTGGCAACTTGCAGCTATTTCGGGCTTAACAAGACCAGGCTCCTATCTAAATGAATGGGCAGAGAGTCAGAACTGCACTTTCACTGGTCACCGGGAAATAAAAACTGCAGTAAAATATGATAAAATATATATAGAAACAGCAGTAAAATATGCTAAAAATCGCTGAAAAAGTTTGATGACTTTGCCCCAAAATAAGGTTTAAAATAGAGCCAGACAATATATCGGCAGGCCGATATTATCGGCCGATATTAGGCATTTTCTAAAATATCGGTATATAATGGCCGATAAATGAATATTTCAAAAATAAAATAAAAACAGACGAATCACGCTTCAACCATGTCATGAGTGTTGGAGTTGTATGGTTTGTCCACCAGAGGGCGCTCTACACCGTCCCTGTTGGGCAACACTCGTGTATAACGCGCCACACATCCTGAACATTTAGAAAGAGAAAAAGTATCAAACGTATTTTGTGCATAAAAGTTAGCTTTTCTTCTACACGTGTGTGAAATCCAACGACGCCAAGTGTGCGTTGCAGTCTGTCGTTCTGTAATGGATTTAGATTAGAATCGCTAAATAGTAGGTTTTAGAAGGCAGGCAGCAACTGAAGATTGAAAATGGTTTGATGTAGCTTGATGGAAAGAATTTAAAAAGTGCAGGTAAAGGGATAAGCAAGCTGACATTATATGTAGGGACTAATTATTATTTTATTTATCAGAACTTTAATATATTTTTATGTTCCTCTGTTCTGTTGTGACAATATTACAAGTTTCTTTTTAAAATGCATTATCATATTATTTTAGTTAAAACTCATAAATAACTACAAATAACTAATGTTAGGGAAATCTGTTAATGTTTTGTTGCGCGTTTTTGAAATAAAATAAATAATAATAATATCGGCCGATATATCGGAATATCGGATTTTAAAACCAACAAATATTTGTATCGGTATCGGCCTTCAAAATGCTTTATCTGTCGGGTTCTAGTTTAAAACACCGTTTTCCCCCACAGGTTATACTTTTACTGCGCATGCGCAAGGGTTCTCTCGCTCTCTGTCGCACGCGCTGCACAGTTTGAAACACAGTATGTGTGCGCTCTTGCTCGCTCGCTCTAGATTCTGGGAGATTTGAAGTAATTTGCGGGCATTAGCGAGCCTCTACCCGGTACTTCTGGGAGACTTGGGATGTCTGATAATTACACAACGCACACATACACTGCATATCTAATCTGCCGCCTTTTCAATCAGTAACGTATTTAAATGTTTCCCGGCTTGACCGTTAAAAGAAGACGATTGGCTGTCCAGCGGGAGGGGCGGGGCATATGCATATAACCGCCATCTTTGGTGTTACGGGTTTTCCCTCTACATTTGTATTAAGGATTGAGGAAGTGGCATGTCTCTATATAAATAGTCTCTGACTGTAATCAAACTGACTGGAACTAACTGTGCATTAATCGGTTTTACTGCACACCTTCCAGCCAATCAGAATCGAGTGTGGTATAACTAACCTTTATTATGGATCTCTATGACCTCAGCTGCTAACACCATAGACCAACATGACATCATGACTTTTGCGTAAACATATACGCCACTTTCGAGTCAGGTGGCGTGTTATCTCCACGCATTTTGTGCTATCC